ACAGCAGAAAAAAGCTTAAAGCACGTTTTTCCCTACGTAATTAACAGCTAGATTTGCTCTCAGCTTTCTGCTGCTCCTGAATTATGAAACTTTTTTTGGGATTTTTCAGCTGTTGTTTTTGCATTCTTATGATTATATTGTGTTTTACCTTATGTTGTGTTCATCTGCGATCTTAATTATCTGCCTCTCATTGCCAACTCTGTGAACTCTGAAGCTAATTTGAGAAGGAAAGTTCTGCCCAGTAATTTTAAAAATATGAGCCATTATTGAGGGTTTTTCCTGGACTAGTGATCACAATAAATACGTAGCTTGGAAACATAGCTTTGGATTCTTCCTACTCACTTAAAGAGGCTGAGAATTGGGTGAAACCTATTCTCGTTAAAACTGAATAGATGAATAGGAAAGGGACCTTCTCTCCCCACCATGAGTACTTGATTTCCCCATGTTGTGGGTGGAGCTCACAAGAAATCCAGAAGGAGCAAGGATGCTGCCTCCATAACGATATGTATTAGCAGAGTCTTGCTTCTGGAGAAGGTTGGCTGTGGTATGGAAGTTCATGAGAAGATAGGGCTGGGAGTTGCTCCTTGGGAGTCTTTCCTAAGCAGTCCCGTTCTCAGGCCTGTCAATGTGTCACTTGGGATCTACATGTGTATAGTGGGTTTTGTTGAAAAAGAAAAATGTTGCAGGTGCAGTGCATCTTTGCAAAGTAAAAAAGCTGATTTTAGGAGATAGGAAAAGAAAGAAAAAAGTGGGAGTACTTCCCACCAAGCAGAGATGGAGAGCAGGAATAGGGCGCGTGTGTGCACAGCTCTGCTCCAAGCTTATGTGTTCGCATGCAGGTCAGCTCCAGGCTGGTATTTTTATCAAAGCATTGGTTGATGAAGGTGGTGTGCCATTCCGTGATGAAACACTCAGGAGATTTTGGAGCAACTATTTTATTCAGCTGATTCCTAAGAAGATGCCTGCACTTCTGGTGGCTGTTACAAGAGTCTGAACCTGGACAGCCTTAGTGGCTTAATGATGCTCTCAAAGTCACCTCTCGTGGTACTTGTATACAGTGTTTAGGTCCCAAAACATTGTCTTTGAAAACTGGAGGTAAAGATGGGATTGGTTAATTGTGAAAAAACATCAGGCACAGGGCTGTGAGAAGAGAATGGGATCGAAGTGTAAATACTATGTGGCTTTTCAGATGAGTTGTCTATAAAACACAGGGTCTCGTGTTCTGTTCTCAATACTTTTTTGGTGTGGTTTGTTTCTGTTTGTTTGTTTTTTGCTTTTTGCTTTTTTTACCCAGAGGAAAATAGTATTAAAAAATAGAGTACAGAGGAGTAGTGTTATCTGAAGACTTGATAAGTTGAATAGTCTTAAATAGGTCAAATGTGGGAAACTGGGTGGTCTAAGATAAAACTGTTACCAAGGGGAAGAAAGACTTCCTGTTTTTAGGAGAATATAATACGTGAGCGATGAAAAGATCTAGGGGGATGATGGAGGAAAGCACTTAAGAGAAAAGGATGAAACTGTGTGCTAGAAAAATGTGGAGAGTGTCAAGAGAGATTTTTTTGGGGAGGAGCAGTTTTTTGTTGGAGTAACCTCTCATGAGTCCCTAATTCTTGGGGCAGTCAAAAAAGGCTCACAAAAGAAAATACAGGGAACAGTGCATTGGGAGAGAGATGTTTTTGGTCAAACTGGCAGGTCTCTAGGCTATAAATTTTAGTGAAACTGTTAAAATGTGAATATGGTCTACATTTTTTTTTGGGAATGGTTTCAAAGTTCTTTGCTGTTCCTTCTCTTCTACTGCAGTTAAAGCCATTTGTTGGATTAGAACAAGAACAACCTGGCATCTAAAACCTTCTGGGCACCCTGTGAGGCTGAAGGGGCTTTCCTCCAAGGCTGGAGGGGCCAAATCTTTTGTGCAATATCTCCAGTCCAGCTCGGATCTCTCTTGCTTCTTGTGTCTGTAGAAAACATTTTTTCATCTGAAAGTGCAATCCAAAGTAATTGAATTTTCAGAGAATACTATGAAGTTGGTCCAGATTCTTAGTCTTCCTCAAAGTCGTCGGTAAAATAGGGATAGAAACCTGGCTTGCAGTTTGTCCCTAGTGGCAAAGGAGCTGAATGATGGGTTCAGGGGTTTTGGCTCTCAGCTGTGGGGACATAGGCTTCCTGCTGTCCTGTCCCCCACGAACTGGTGGCCTCTGCCTCTCCCAGCACCTGGTGACCTCCGCCATCCTGTGTGTGCTCCTGGGGAGCTGGTGGGAAAGTGGACACATCAGATGAAGAAGCTTTCTAATGAGGTGAACAGCTACAGGATAAGGACTGTGGTGTTGCAGGGCAATGGGAGGACAGGCGGAGATGTATGTAGGATGACTTTTTGGCCTTTTGTTCCTGAAGAAATGCATGGTGAGGGTTGGGGGAGCAGAGAGGATCTCTTCTCAGAGATCAGCTGGAGGGATAAGGGAAAGTGATGTCAGCTGAGCTGAATTGCTGTGGTGTAGTCTTAGCAGAAATCTTCAAAAACTGGTATTAAAAAGGCTGATTGTTTTCAGACCAGCCTCCTGCTCCTGATGAACTGCTTTTCAAGTTTCCAGTAAGTCCTTAAGGTCACCACAAAATCTCGCCTGTATAGCCTGGGGAAATGGCAGCTTATGCATATTCAGTAACGGGAAATTAATTACTTGCAACTTCCATATGATGTTGTGTGAAGCTAAGCATGGTGGCTGGCGTGAGCAACCAACTGCCATGGCTTATGGTGGTGGCTGAGCTTTGATGTGCTCTTGCCTTCGGTGGTGCCATACATTAATTTATTAAAGAAATGGGGAAAAAAATTACTTCAGTTTTGAATTTGCACTACAAATTCATTGGTAGCAGCAGGCTCCACTAGATTAGTAAGTAGCTTTAGTCAGAGGTCTCGCTGATGCTGCCAGAGATGAGTTGCTCTCATGATCAGGATGGAGATGATCAGGGGGATTTCTGCCACTTCTGTGGGTTTTGAGAGATGAGGCACAGCAGGATTTAGTAAATATCTTAAGTCTGGTTCCTTAAGTGGTGCGGTGGGAGTGGGAAAGCCATTTTTGTCTTGGTTCACCTGTGGCACCACCAAAATTGAGAGAAGATGGGTAACACCAGTGCTGAGAAGCACTGTTTCCCAAGCCTGGGAGAGGAGCTCAAACAGAGGTCAGAGCTCTCTGCTTGTAGGCCCTCTGAAGGGGGCTAGCATTTAGCTTGATAAAAATTCTAATAATTGTCCCTGGTCTATATCTATCCTGCAGATCACTGATTTCTGCTGTCTCTGGGCCCTTTCCTTTCCAGGGGGAAACAGCTTCTGAGAGTATTAAGAAGACGTATGACATGGAAATGCTGGTTTCCAGATAGTTCCTGTTTCTTAAAACCTGTCTTAAAATGTTAGGTTACTTGCAGGTTCAAACTGATGCTTGACTTGATTGCAGGAAAAAGGCTTGGATTTATACCCAGTCCAGATTTGTCCCTTGCCAGGGTATCGGCACCACTGGTAGTTGGATGGACATGCCCAGCATGGGTCGGGAGCTGCTTGTCCTGTGCACCCCTGATATTCAGCTACATTAAAAAGTATAATTCAGAAACAATATCCGCAGCACAAATCTGCATAATCTTTGCAATGCATGTGCATGGTGGCAAAGAATTTTTTTTAAAAGAATTTTAGCACCATTTGGAAGGGCAGTCCTAGGTGGGAGAGCTGCTGGGTGCATCAGCAAGGCTGATTTTTTGCTTAAGCCTTGAGCTCCAGCTTGCAGAAGACAAGGAGCAAGTCAGGCTACAGCTCCTCAAGGGTTCATTGCAGACATTTCATAAGACCCCTCTAGCTGAGGGCATCCTAAGGCAGCCTGATTGTGTAATGCCACAGTAGCTGGAGAATTGTTAAAATAGCATCAGGTTTTTCTTTTAATTAATTTATTTTTTGTAGTAGAGAAGATTGATGTATGGTGCCTTGCTCAGGTGAGATTTGTTGTTGTGTGTTGTTTGTTTTGTGAATTCCAAATGAGGTTTTTTTTTGGTTGGTTTTTTTTTTTTTTTTTTTTTTTTTTTTTTGGCTCAGAACAGTTCAAAGCAAGACCTTGTCCCTTCTCTGAAGTGTTTATAATCCAATTTCAGACATAAAACAGCACGGGCGTGGAGGAGGGAGGAACAAGCAGGGATAAAACAGCAAGGTTTTACATAGCCTAGGGGACCAGGGCAGTAGGCGGACGTCTGAATGCTTCAGCAGGTCGATGGCATTTGAGGATCCTCTTGGGTTTGTTGCCTGGGTGGGGATGCTCAGATGTAGCCTGGCTTGGTAAAACAAGCCACCTACAGAGAAGCCCCCAGAGGAGTAGTTCAGGTCCTCGCCACAGTGCTAGGCGTGGGTGGGCAATGCCCATGGAGGGGAACTTGGGTCTTTGGCTTTCAGGACTAACTGTCTCTTCTCTGGAGGCTCAGACCTGCAGTAAAGTAGGGAAAGAATGAGCTCAAAAACCTATTTTATTTTTTCCCAACCATATAGACCGGTCTGATAAATTGCTATAACCCACACAAGCATGTTTTTCCAAAATTCCCCGATGTTCGTGGCTTTGCATCACTCTGCACCCGTGAATCAGCGGAAGGATTTCTGGCATTGTTTGTCCCCTTTTTCTTTTTGCTAACTCTAGAAATTGGTTGTTTCACTGCCCTTATGGTTAAGTAAATCTGATATTTGTCCATGTTATAGTTCAGTAAAGAAGCTGGTTGCACACTTCCATATAATGCATCTGCACAGCCATCTGTACGTTCATCAGATACCCTTCCTTATACCTGAGCAGTTGGTTATTTTGACTCAATCTTTTGGGTAAAATTCTTTATCTTACGATGTTTGGATTGCATTTTGCAGGAAAGCGTTGTGAAGATATGCTGGAGGAATATGAGATTTGCATCTTAAATGCAGTATATTGCAAGTTAACAGTTAATGCAAACCATTATAATGACTTGAATTGATCTCTTCTGTTTTCCAGGGTGCCCGAGAAACCTTTGAGAACTACTATAGGAAACAGAGAAGAAAACAAGCCAGATTGGTCCTGCAGCCTCCTTCAAACATGGTACGATGGTCCCCTACTTGCAGTGCCTAAACTTGTTCTGCTGAGTAAAGGAGCAGAGGGTTATCTCTGGGCTTGATGTTGATGGTGGGTGGTCTCTAATTTATTTCCAATTGCTCTTGGCTGCTTTTGTTTTAATCTTTGCTCACTTTTTCTTTGTTGCAGCATGAAACTTTAGATGGCTACAGGAAGTATTTTAATCAAATTGTAGGGTAGGTATTCCTTTTATATACATTCTCGCTAAATATGTGCGTGTAGTGTGTTGTTGAGGAGCCCAAAAAGAAACAGAGAGGAGGGAACGTTGATATTTTTGAGGGCCCTTTAAAGGGAGCCAAAAAAGAAAAAAAAAAAAAAAAAAAGGGGGTTGGATTTTTTTTATCGTTATTAAATTTTTTTTTTTTTTTTTTGGGTATTTTTTAATCTTGGGGGCGCCCTTTTCGGGCCCTTTAAAGGGGAATAAAAAAAAAAAAAAAAAAAAAAAAGGTGGTTTGGACTTCTTAAGTGTTTTGGAGTGTATTTTATAGCACCCGTGAACTTTGCTGTGTCACTAGTGGGAGTGTGGAGGAACCTGCCGGCTCTTGTACTAGCAAGCACATTTCTGGGAATTTGAGGATAAATAATCTCTGTGGACTGTGTGCATCTACTTGCCCCACTAATGAAATGAATAGGTCCTCTGCCTTAATATTCTATAATATGTGATATTTATTTTTTTATTATTTTTCCTCGTAAAAGAGGTGATTCTCAAGACTCTATTCCTATGAGCTTCTTATTATTGCACTCAGATTTGAAAAGAGTCTTCCAAAACCAGCTAAGCTTTAAGTGGAGAAAACCTAAGAATGCTAATCTAGCAAAGATAGGGTTGAAATTTCTTCACCTAACGATAATAATTTCAACATCACATCGTGACCATCACAAATGCAGTATGTGCTGCTCACCTTCGCATTTAGTTCCATGCTCCTGGGCTGGATTTCCCCAACAAAACACAGCTGAGATTTTGTGCATTGCTGTTTAAAATGTGCAGTGCCACACTCGCTCCCTGAAAAATACAGTTTCTTTTTGGGCAGCGTGTTTGATAACTGGAGATTGGAGTGAACTGATTGCCTTTAAATGATTGTGAGCGTGTGGCGTATCCAGGCACAAGAGAGTATTTTTCCCTGCAGTTAAAGTATTTTTCCCTCCAGTTAACCAATTGTAATATGATTGCTGCTGGCTGGAGTGGAGTTTAATCAGTGGTTCTTGTTCAAATAATGGGGTGGAGAACTTCGAGAGGGGGAATTCTGCCTTTGTGTATACATAGAGTTGCATTACTATGAGCAACTGTATTTTAGCTCACTTCTTTAATACAGTGAAACATCCTATATTGTGATTTTAAAAATGGGTGAATAAAGTGCTTAGCATTGGCTATATTTGATACAGAAATCTGAGCTTGCTCTGGGGACTTGCGGATGTGCAAATGCTGCGTGTCACTCACATGCGGGTTTTGCAGATCTCTTTTGATGTCTCAAAACCTGTGACTTTTGATAACAGTGCCATTTTCTCCTCTCCATTAGGTTTTTTGTAGTGGAAGATCACATCTTGCATACAACACAGGGCTTGGTAAATAGAGCCTATATTGATGAGCTGTGGGAGATGGCGTTATCAAAAACTATTGCAGCACTAAGAACACATTCAGTAAGTAAAAGCCCTGGGTTGCTCAGCTGTTGCTTGACTATGACTTGACATGCTGGAAATACTGGCTTTTACAGTAGTATTCTTTGTTTTGCCTCTTTTTCCAACGACCCTGTTTAAAACCATAACATGAAGATGCATTGCTATTTTCCCCAAAAGCTTTCTCCAGCTTTTTTTTTTGGCCCTTGAGGCACTGCATTTCTCTGGACCAAGCTCTCAATATTTTGGGGCACTGGAAAGCAAAAAATAGTGGTTTGATATTTGTCTTGTTGGTTCGCTGATCACTTTTGAGAAATGCCAGCAGAGGGAGTTAGTTTGTCCCAGGAAATTGGGGAAAAAAAGTGTCTGTTTGGCACACTGAAGTATGACCTTGTTGAATATTCTCTCAAAGTTCATGGCAGTGAATGGGTTGCTATCAAGCTGCAAATCATTTGTGCATAAAAAGACAGTAAATAGATTTCTTATTTTTTAATACTGAAAGTTTGAAAAAATTTGTTATCTCTTTGGTACTTCTCTGCTTGAGCAAAACACCCAAAGCCAATTGCAAAAAATGTACATTTTTTTCCCCAGTTTTATATCTCCTGGTATAATGTTGTACCAATTCAGCTGGGAGCACTGGAGTTTTCTGAAAACCCTATTAGTTAACAGGATGAAACAATTGCGGTTTACGTTAAAAGGAAAAGCATTAATGACTTTCCACATGTCCGTTTTCAAGCTGTTGGGCCATTTTCTCCAGGAAAAACAAAATATTTAATCACTGAAATCCCACCGGTGCTCCTGGAAGACAGTGTCATCTGGAAGCACGAGGGTGCTGTGAGGTCATGTTGGTGCAGGCCTTCACCTAACATGATGTAACATGTCTGTGGTGGTACCCAAGTGATAACGATGTCATTGCTCTTTGCTGAGAAAACCCTAAAATTTCAATATGGAGAAACAATACCCTGGTTGCTTCACACCACTCTGAGTTAATGTATTTACATGATCTGGCTTAGTGTAGTTGCCCATGGCCAGTGTTGCTGAAGAGCTGCTTAGCTTTACCCATGCAGGTGGGGATAGCCCATTTGATGGACCTAGAGCTCGTTGGGATGAGGAACCACAGAGGCTTCCTGGGGTGCTCTGGTTTCATCTGGCACAGCAGTTATGTTGACTGGAAAGCTGCCTCCTTCCACTTAAGCTTCTGTGTTACGAAAGGGGATAAACAAAGAGATGTACACCCCACTAGGTTGTAAAGCTGTGTTTATTTTCTTTTTAAGTGGGGTTTTTCTGCTAGGTGAAAGCCATGAGAGTAAGCCAGGTACAAACATGGGTTTTTTCAATTTTACCAACTTTGTTGCCATGACAAGTTGTTTTAAGTAATGCCAAACTTAATGCATGAAGTGCCTGCCAGGTTAGCTTTTTTTCCCCAGTAATCATGAAATATTGCACAATTTCTCAACACTGTTACTGGGGTCATCAGTCATCTCTAGCCTACAACTCCCATATAGACCAGTGCCATCCATCCCATATTGCCGTTGAGACTTGATGGAGGGCTCTCACATTGGTGAGGCTGTTTCAATTCTTCCCGTTCAGCCAAACCTATCCCTGGATTTTCTTCCTTTCTGCAGACAGGGAGGGACATCTTTTATCACTTCTGATAGCTTTAGGGCATTATCTTTCTTTCTAACTTTCTTTTCTGGACAGTGAAATGGAAAATGTGTCTCTTCCAGTCTTTCACATTGATTAATGGAGTAATTCCTCCTTGAGTTTCCAGTGAGCTTTAAATCTGTTTCTTTTTCCAGCTTATGATTGCTGATTCTATATTTGGTAAGACTCTGTCTGAAATTTTACATATTTCAGCATATGGCGGTTGTCTGCCGTATCCAGAGAGCACATGAAGCCTGTGGGTAACATGGGGTGGCTCTAAGGGGACAAACAACGTTGTCACTGCGCTGAGTTATGTCTTGAGGGTTTTGAGCAGTGTCCTGACCTGCAATAAATACTTGTATTGTAGCTCTGACCGTTGATGTTGCTGAAATATAGACACGCAGTGTGTTTTTCTTCAGCCTGAACCACTTAGCAATGCAGGCTTCGCGTGGGGCTCAGGGATGCCTCGCTGCGATGCTTCATTACCATCAGACACAACACACTAAATATTACATGAGAGGCGCTGCTGTCGTCTTGGTATGACAGCGCGCTGATTTGCTTCATCTCCTCTCGCTTCCCTAGCAGCTCCTGGGTAGTCTTAGAGACACTTCAGGTATCTCTCGAGCAACTGAAATCCTTATTCATCATGGAGAGCCTCAAGAGCAGTGTGTTACGAGGAGAGATACCCTTATCAGTGTGCCTTCCCTTGCCCTGTGCAGTGTTAGGGCATGGGCAGTAGGATAAAAGCTGCTGATGGTAAGACTGTGCAGCATGCCTATGTATTTATTATCTCTCAAGTGATAACACAGGAGGGCTGAAGCAAATACTTTTCCCGCTTGTGGCAGTTAAAACCGTGTTTTAATTTCTCTCCTTCTTTGCAGTCCTACTGCTCAGACCCAAGCCTGGTGTTAGACTTGAAGAACCTCATTGTCCTCTTTGCAGATACACTCCAGGTACGTGGCTATTGGCGACCGCACTTTATCTTGCTCATCAGTTGTGTTGCTTGCAGATGGTGTCCATCAGCGGGGTTAAATGGCTGATGTCAGCTTGCTGTAGTGGCCCAGCTTCTTCTTTGGCATTGTGGAGCATGAATTGTGGTGCCTGACGGACAACCTGGTTCACTCTGCATGTGGAGTGGCCAGCCCAGGGGAAAAGGGCCAAGCCTTAGCCACTTTTTGCAAAGTCCTTGTGCTTCCTGCCCACCCCCAGCCCAGCCTTTAATAGCCCTTGGTCCTACCACCTCAGTAAATCACCGCCTAAATCTGTCCACCAGCACCATTCACCTCTGTGGTGGCCATATGGGAGAATTTCCCATGTGCTCCCGATTAAATACAGAAAATATTCTTCATCTGCCTGGTGGTGACTTTTTCTTATCTGAAGTTGCTCTCTTCCCCCACTTCTCTGCAGGGCTACGGCTTCCCGGTGAACCAGCTCTTTGACATGCTGTTGGAGATCCAAGACCAGTATAGTGAAACCCTGCTGAAGAAATGGTCAGGAGTTTTCAGGTGAGAAGCTCTTTAAGCAAACTCATGAGACATAGCTTTGGCCCATAAATAAATTTTTTTGAGAGATTAAGAGCAAGGTCATGTGTATGTTTTGGGCAACAGTAGGCTTCAGGCTGGGCTCTCCTTGGACCAAGGCAAGCCAATTTAAACAGTTTTGAGAATCCTGTGTGTGGTGAGATCTGTGCAATAAATCAGTGAAGTCCCAGAGGGATTAAGGTTATGGTTTCATTATGAAGCTCACACTGACAGTTGACAGATGGAAGGATGCAAGAACCTGGTGTTGCAGAAGTGTTGCTGTTCCCTTGCTCCAACACTGAGCCATGTGTGTCTTGGGACATCAGTGGCATATCCCTATGCTGCAGCTGTAGATACATCCATGAGCCGAGCAGTTGCCTGCAGGTAGGGCATGATATCCAGGGTTCCATGCTGTGCTCTGGAGCTACCAGCTCATCCTCCAGGACATCCCAGGAGGACTGAGGTGTTTCAGAGCACGGGGCATTAGGAAGAGGTGTTGGAGACTTGTCAGTGTCCCGGTAGCTCGGGATCCATCTTCCTCAAGTCAGACAGGACTGAAGCTCACTCGGGCTTTACCAGGGGCTGCTGCTGAGGCTTCAGTCTGGACTAAAATCACCATTAATCTCTGGTTGTGGCTTTACACAGACTGAAGGCAGGAAGGTGGGAGAGGTCATTGAGTCCAGCTGCAGCAAAGATGACTTCAACAGTCACAAACACAGGGGGGAGTTTAGGCCCATGGGGTCACATCTTAGCCTGGCACCTACTTCTTAAGAGCTTCCCAGCTGAGTGGTATATATGCAAAGTTGTGGATAGTCTGTCATCAGAGAGATGTCTTTCCAACTTTTCTTTCTTTTCTTAGAAATATACTTGATTCAGATAACTACAGCCCCATACCAGTGACAAATGAAGAAGTTTATAAGAAGATAGTTGGACAGTTCCCATTCCAGGATGCAGAACTTGAAAAGGTAATCTTGAAATGGGCAAAATGGAGCAGCTTGTCTGCTGGTGCGGGAAAACCCCACACCCTTGTTAGTGGCATCAGGAGCTGCAAATCAAAGCTTAAACAAACCCCAAACAAACCCAAACCAAATAAACAACAACAAAAACAAAACAAAGGAAAGAAAAAGTAATATTTTTTATGTGATGTGTTTCTCCTGGTGTGGATGAGGAGGGTGCTTATAGCAATACCTCATTGATTTTTTCAGATCAGTGTAGGGTCACACCCAAACAGTGCTTGCAGCAGACAAGAGACTAGGAATGTCTGCTACCATTGATATTTTATTCCCATTTTGTGAAGTATATTATTGACCTTTCCTTGTTTTAATCTCATATTAAAAAAAAAAATATATCCCAACAAAGTAGTTTATCTTAGCTTTTGTAGAAGTGTGTGCTTGCAAAACCTACACATAGCCAAATTCGACCTAGCCAGTGTCTCTTAAAAGCCTGCTTGGCCTTCTGCTCTACATCTGTCAGTCAGTGAGCTCCAAGCCTGGTGAACTTAATTAGGACTGGGAGAGGTTTTGATCCAAGTCAAGTGCTTAGATTTCAGAAAGTCCATGTCCTTTTCCCAAAACTATATCATTACTGTTGTGCTGTGCACCTCCCGGCCATGTGTGTGCTATCAGTAAAAGCTGACAAGAAAAATTTGGTGTAGAACACCTGTTTCCTCTTGGCTTTTGGTGTTGTAAGCAAGTGCTCACCTTGAGCAGCAACTGGGGGAAGTGACCAAGCAAAACACCTTGTGCATGGTGGGACATAAAAGTCAAGTTCTCCAACGCGTTTTTTTGGTATGACTTAGGGAGTTGGGAGAGGGAGTGAGGGTCCTGTTGTGCTGCCTGCTCCCTCCTAGCTGCAAGTTTCCTTCCAGCCTGTTTCAGACTCCAAATCCCTTATGCACCCATGTGCCATTTGTAAGTGATTATCTGGTCTTTCACTTGGCTGAAATGTTTATATAATATACCATAAATGCTGGCTTGTTGTTTCATTGCTGGACTTAGCTAAATACTAGAATTAATTTGACTGCTTGGAACATGTTGCTGGAAAGCAGTCGGCACTCCTGTTAAATATCTGCTTTTCCACTTAAATTGTCTCCTGTATTTTACAGCAACCGTTTCCAAAGAAATTCCCCTTTTCTGAGTTTGTGCCTAAAGTTTACAATCAGATTAAGGAATTCATCTACGCCTGTCTGAAGTTTTCGGAAGACCTTCATCTGAGGTAGGGGGATGAGTGTGCTAATGGTTGTCATACAGAGTTTTTGTCTGCACTGAAAGATCTCAACAAGGTTTAAAATATGAATTTTCTTCCTCAACCCTTCATGCTGCTCAACTGCTTGGATATACCTTGCCCAGGATGGAGGTGGCTGGTGGTCTACTTGGGGTGGTGGCATCCTTAATGTACCAAGGGCTGGCCAAGTCTTCAAAAATAGCCATAGCCCAGGACCATGCTAGCTATAAAAAAAGTGAGGAGGCTGTTCCTTCTGAGATGTTTTCTGGGTCAGTTGTACTAAGTAGATAAATATAGTTGTCTCAATGTCTGCTTGTCATTAGGTCAGTGCCTGGTATAACATCTACAACTGGCATGCTGCGTCCCCACACTATCCCTCAAGGAGCACATTGGCAAGAAAACTCTTGAAGTTTTGATTTGTCTTGTTTGTTAATGACTTTCGGCTGCTGGTTTAGGGTTTGTTTTTCTTGTTTCCCATAGGAGTTTATATGCAAATAATCTGATTTTTTTTTTTAAAGCCTCCAAAGCATTCCATGTGTTTATCATCCCTTCTCCATCCCAAGGTGCCTTAATGCTAGTTTTATGTGTGTGTGAGATTGGATGACTGCATTAGCCAGAAACATCAAGGTTGTGCTTTCTTTTTGCACCTGATAATGTCTTTGACTTGATAGAGGTATATAAATGAATAATGAGATTTTTACTTGAAGGAAGCGTCCTTCATCCCCTCTGACTGTTTTCAGCATCTTACTAGTGAGAGGTTGGACTGGGGGGCGGGGGGGTGTTTCACCACCCTGGGCAGCTTCATGTCCTGGCTACAGCCTGACACTGGATGTTACCCCAATGCTGATGTGGAGCTAAGGCAGTGTTCTGGGGACTTGCCAGATGTTTCAGTGCCTGTACAAGGCTCTTCAGGGTTTTAATTTTTGTTCCTTTGTGAGAGGGATAATAATTTGGAGATCCACTTCCTCTCCATCATCTGCTAGAGGGCGTGGCAGCTCGTTGGTTGATGTGGAAGCACAGGACATTTCTCACCCTGCATTTAATCTCAACCTTTCACTGGTGGCAGGTTGTTCTCTTTGGTGGCTCCCAGGGCTCTTAACCTGTGGGTCACCATTAAAGATCTCAGTTTCTAAAGCCGACAGAATGGTCTGATTTCACACGGATGCTGGTTTCACCGAACCCCTCCGTTGGCACTTCCCTCATGAGTTTTTTGCTCTTCACCATTATGGAGATGATTTGGTTTGTCAGGGAAGGGAAGAAAAGTGTCCCCTTGGGTTCCTCCTCAGGGGTCCCCCCGGACACGTTATTAAAATTCCTTTCGACATTGGATTTTCCAGCTCTTTTTGAGGAGTGGTGTTGGGCTGGGGGAAGGGAGCCCAGCTCTCAGCTTTTCTAGCAAAACATTTGGAATATTTCTCTGAAAACCCCTGTTGACACTTTCTTCATTTCACCCTGACAGCTTGAATTAGGTTTTATTAGGAAGCTTGGCTACAAAGCCGGCAGCAAGTTTTCTTTCTCTTCTCTTTCTTTTTCTTCTTTGGTTGTCATTTACCTTGCACCCTGGAGTGATTGGGGTCAGCCTGTCAGTCACGGGAGGCCTGAAGGTCATGACTACTGCTATGGGATACGGGACATCAGCTGTCATTAGCCCAGACAGTTCGCTTAAATATTCTGCAGTCTTTTCCTGAAGAACAGAGCCTATAGCAGAAAATGTATCTTGTTTTTTCTTTTTCCTAATTTTTTTTTTAAAGTAGCTCCTTGTATTTGTTGGATGGGAGCATTTTCTTTTATGTTGATAGGCTTGTGAAGTTATTTTGCTTTTCAAGTATTTGAAGAAAATTTGGCGCTTACTATGTGTCTTTAGGGGTTGCAAATTCTTTTGTTTTGTGTTATTAATTTGATTAGGAGAAAGAAAACCTCCTTTATATTTTCAGTGGTTCTGCCTTTGTTAAAAAGTGTGTATTTGAGCTCATTGAGGAGATGTATTTTAAAAGTATCCACTTGCTGGAAGGCTTCCGCTGGCTCCAGTGGAATTTCTCATTTGAAAGATAGGGAATATCTTTGGAAAACAGTAGGTGGAAGGACAAGATGTCAGCTCTAATCTACCAGAACTTTGATTGTTTAGGTTTGGGTTTTTTTCAAACAAAGTGCCAATCCTGAAGGTAATTGGGATACAATTTTTAAAGTGCTGAAAATAATTTAAGTACATAAAGTTTCAAAAAATAAAATAAAAAAATCAGAGACTTGAGTGACTAATTTAGGTTTGGACCTTTGGAAGCCCACTTTAGGAAAGGGGAGATTAATGTGGTTTCTTTGACAGCTCATATTATTGCTTCTGTGTTACTAGTGGTGTGTGGCTGTAGACCAACCCCAGTAACAAAGGTGGTAGATCAAATTGACTTCAAAGATCATAGAATCATAGAATGGTTTGGGTTGGAAGGGACCGTAAAGATCATCTAGTTCCAACCCCCCTGCCATGGGCAGGGACACCTCCCACTAGAGCAGGTTGCTCAAAGCCCCATCCAGCCTGGCCTTGAACGCTTCCAGGGATGGGGCATCCACGATTTCCCTGGGCAACCTGTTCCAGTGCCCAGGGAAGACACGTAGTGAGCAGTCCACATGAAAAATATTGCTCATTTGGGGTTTTTGTTTTCTTCTCGCATATTGAGAACTGATACGCAACTTTTCTGTTGAGCCAAGACACAACCTTTCCTTCATGGTCAAGAGTCGGCATCATACAACTGACTGGTACCAGTACTCTTTGCTAACTGGCCCCGCTGATCTGTGCACTGGATTTGGGCTGTTGGTGTGAGCTTGGTTCATCATTTCAGCTGAGAGAGTGCTGGGCAAGGCAACTGCTAACACCCATTGCTCTTGTTATCACCCTCACTGACCTCTTCTGTTGAACCAAGGAAGATTTTGGGGGATTGCAGTCCAGCACCTGGTCAAATCCTGCTCTCTTTTTTTTTTTTTTTTTCTTCCAAGGAGTGATTCCATTTTTTTTCCCTTACTCAGTGTGTGGACCTCATGGCACATATCACAAATCCTTCTGCTCTGGTGCAACCCAACCACAGGGGTTACCAGGCTGCTTGACCCACCATGTAACTGAAGTTACAACCTGATTTTCTAGCTTATGTGACCAACAAACAAAATAAGAATAGGAAACCTTTGGAAATGGGGCTTGTATGCAGAGAAAGCTCAGGTAGAAGTGCTTTGAAGAAGTAAAAGCAGCATGGAAGTGCTAAGCAGCATTATTAAGCACTAGTTGTTTATGCCCTGGAGGCTGTCATGGTTGAGATGTTCCTGCAGCTGAAGTGAGCAATTAAAACAAACGCTCAATTTGCAGAGCGTTTGGTGATATGGCAACCTGGTGCCATCAGCGCTGGCTGTGGCATCGGGCAGAGGCCAGCAGCATCCCACTCCTGCCAAGAGCATGACTCTCTCAGGGCGTACACGCAGCCAGACAGTAACTGGCTTGTTTAATTTTGACGCCTTGATGACAGGTTGACATTTGAATTAAAAAAAAAAGCAAGCTTTTCTAGCACAACCTAGTTGGTTGCTGTGTTGGTTTAGTGAGAAAAGCTGACGTGATGTCCAAACCCCCATGTTTTTCATCTGTGCTTTCTCAATTTCAGTAAATGCTGGAAGCTCCAACCACCAGCTTCTCTTCCAGCCTTGGCCTTCTGTACCTCCATCAACCTTAGGGACAGGCTATGTGAACTCCCTGTGTATTGCATTTCAGGATTTCCCATGGAAATTCCCAAAAGGGCTACAGTACTAGTACAAAGATATAGCTCTGTGTATTGTTTTCTCCCTATGCAGTTTTTTCTTTACCCCCTCTGAGGATGTGTCCAGCCCTTTTTGGTCCCCAGCCGCCTTCCCTGGTTCCCACACAGTTCCAGCAGCAGCAGGCGGCTGCCCCTGGTGCCACGAGGTTCCTTTGTACCACCCCTTTGCTTTAAATCTCCTTTTTACCATCTGTAGATCATCACAGGGTTAGATTTTATTGTATTTGCTGTATTTAACCATGCTATTGTCTAGTGGAAGGGACTGGGGACAATTTGGTTCTTCCTGGGGGATGTGTGTATGCATGTGTAGTGAGTTTGGGGGATTTTTTGTTTATCTTTAAGTAAAACCTTATTTGAGAGCCCTACCCGTAGTATAAAGTCCAGGAAAATTCATTGGCTGGTTTCTTCTCCTCCCCGCATGTTTATTTGTGTTCCACACTTCCAAAAACCCAAATGCCTTGGACCTCACATCAAAACCCTGTGAGAAGGAGCAATGGGGTCCACCTGAGATGTGGACTGGGCTACCCCTGGTCATCACTGGCACAGGATGTGCTTCCCTGCGAAGCAGGAGGAAAATAAACTCATGGAGATCAGTGGTGATGATCTAGAAGAGACTCACACTAGGACTTTGGCTGATGACATTGAATTTAAATTATCAGGAGCTGGGTCCTGCTGAGCTGCTGGCCCTGCTCTGCTTGCATCCAGCTGGGAAGAAGACAGTGGTCAACCCTTGTCAGGCGTGTGGTTCAGAAGAGCAGATTTGTAAACATCAGGGGAAAGAAAATATTAGAGAAACCTCTTGGGGAGTGCAGTGTGGTGAGCAGCTGCTGGGTGTGTGGGGAGTTGTGCGTCTGGGCTTTTCCTTGGGAAAGCTGCAGCAAAACATGGCTTTCTTAGTCTCACAGAAATATGAACCTGGCTTTGCTCAGAGGTGCGAGCAGGGAGCGATATTTGCCACTTCTCTCAGGAGTTTGGGGGCTTTCAGTGCAATTCACATGCAGCAGCACAAGGAAGGTCCTGAATAACTTGAAAAATGTAGGTGACTGAAGGATGTGTGATGCTCAGTGAGGTTGAGCAGGTACAGGAGATGCTACTGTGACCACAGGGTTGCTGTTGGAGAAGGCTTAGTGTTGCTTTCCCAAGGGTCAGGTGCCGATCGACCAGGGCTCAGCTCAGTGCATCTGCTCTCATGTTAAATAGGCACAGAATTTGGGAGGTGTGAGCTGGAGTAGGGCTGGCAGCACATGTCCCTGCACCAGCGGGTGCCCTGATAGCAGCTCGCCAACATCTCCCACCTCGCACACTGGCGGTAGGGTAACTGCAAGGTTTGCTTTTGCTTCTCGTGTCCATCCCTGCTTTGTAATCTGGCCTGTCTGTCAGGTACAACAGGAAAAGGAGCAAAAGGTCACAGGCTTGATTTAGTGAGAGCCTTAAAGTTAGTAGTGCTTCTTAACCTTCCAGTTGGAAATTCTCCTTGCCCTCAGCTGCCTGTCACTGCACTGCCAGAGATAAAGCCCCGTGGTGTCAGGGCTAATACAGGGCCAATGACAGATCAAAGGAGCCTGTGCTGGGGTGGGGTTCCAAAAACTCCTTGAGAAAGGAGAGGTTGCACTTTGCTGGCATGTTTTTTGGAGGGGCAGGAGCACAATCAGAAAGCCAAACCCCCAAACTTCAGCAATGCTGCAGTTGCAACCATCTGGCAAAAGGCATGAACATGTTACAAGAATTTCCAGTTTGATTTACTTGAAGAAAAAGCTGGGGGGGGGGGGGGCGGGGAGG